GAGAGAGAGAGAGAGAGAGAGAGAGAGAGAGAGAGAGAGAGAGAGAGAGAGAGATAGATAGATATGCCCCTGTTGTTGCTGTGATAAACACCATGATCAGAAACAACTTGGGGAGTTTGTCTTACACCTTCTGATCACCATCCACTGTTGGGAAGATTCTGGGCAGGAGCAGAGTCAGAGCCAGAAGGAGTGGTGACACGCACCTTTAATCCCAGCACTTGGGAGGCAGAGGCAAGTTGACAGCTGACACTAACTATGGCAGATATTTTAGGAATTTACAGGGTTTCCAGCCATGGAAATGAGTCTGTTTTCTCCAAAAGGGTTTTTTTTTTTTTTAGCTTTGGAAAACCTTATTGATTGGTCTTGTTGTTTGGTCAGAGTGTGCAGGGTTGAGTGTGAGACTATTTAGTTGTGTGATTTTGCATTCCACAGTAATACTACAGTAATTTTAAAGGAACTAGTATTTTATAAATTAACGAATATACTTTCCTCATGGTGAAATAAATATCTAATGAATAAACTTATTACTTTGAAAATGGCTAAAGCAATCATGAAAATTAAATTGTGTCCTCTGAGTCCTTAAAACTCTGTGGTTGGCTTTGGATTTAAAAAAAAAAAACCCACAGATTGTGTATTTGAGATCTCTTTTAATTTTGAGATATTGATCTTGTGATCAAAGACAAATGTCCTTTGGGGAGCAGTCATACCCCACTGTGAATTTTAATGAAACAATGTGATTACTTAGTTCTTTCTCTGGGAGTTGGTTTGAAGTGAGCGAAGGCTGTGGGCCTTGTAGGCTTTCTCTTGCTTGAGGATGCAGTTCCTTCGTATTTGTCCCTAAACTACTTTCAGTGGAAAATGCTGTCAAAAGCCTCCTGTCTGTTAATTTCAGTCAGCAGCAGGGCTTTCCTTTCATTCTTTTTGTGATATTTTCTTATTATAGGAGTTGTAGCTTGAGCAATAGCATAATTATTCACCACCTACAATTAGCAGGTACTTTACCTAACATCTTTAAATTTTACAGTGCCTCTGAATGCCTAGTAAGTGCAGTGCTTCTCCATTGTGGGTAAAGGCAAGCTTACAACTCACATTAGTTTAAACCAAAACGCAAAATGTTTCTTGAGAGCTTGCTTGTCAAATGCTCAGTCAGCAGTCTTCTGTACAATCTCTTGGCTTTTGTCGATTTTCTAGTCTTCACAGGTCGGGAGACATTTACCAGAAGCTGCAAGCCTTACTGAAGCTGCACACCTGCCCTCCCTTGATGTTGAGAGCAGGACTTTGACAGGACTACTCATTGTGGTTAGGAAGGAGGGACACTCACAGTTGGCCTGGGCACACTCCAGTACATGGGACATAACCAAGGCTGTATATAATACATGGTAGGTTAGGGGCCTTCCCTTTAGGGAAGAGAAGAAAGGATGCTGGTAGATATCCATAAACAGTACTGTCACTTTACGGGTGTGAGGCTTCCAATGGAAAAAAAATCCCATCAAGTCATAAAGCTAATGAACAGTAGAGCAGAACCCCAGCCTTGCCTTTTGGCTTTATGGTTCACATTCTCTCTCCTAAGATTTAAGCCCTTTCCCTTTTGTAATCACATATGTTCCCAATCTCCCTAATTCTTTTAACTTTTTTTTGGAGAGAGAAGTAAACCAGGTAAAAAATAGTAAGTGAAGTACCCTTTTTCTTTATTGTT